TACCTGAATAGATAACATTGCAGCTATGGAGAGCATTTCTTCACCACATTGGAATTTATAGGAGTCTAGCAACTGTAAAATTTTTACCAAAAAAATAATAAAAAGAAAATCAGTAATTGTCAACATTAAAAGAAATAATCAACTCGCGGTTATATTCATACAATTTTGCCAAGCATTGGGTCGACTGGAAATTCTGCCAACTGCATTCCTAGAGGCATTGTTAACCGCCCATGCTCATCCAATGCTTTTAAAGAATATAACAACTAAAAAGCTTGCAAGATATTAGACATAATTCTTTTAAAAGGAAACACTATAATAATTTTTATGTGTAACTTTACCTCCAATGAGCGTATCATTAGCTCCGCAGGTGGAGGTGTTAAAAAGTCAAATCTTAACACATTTTCAATGCCCAATGCTTTTAAGTGAAGCACAACTTGCGCAAGGTTGCTTCTACAAACGTTCAATGTTTGTATCAGCATATACACATTTATATTGATTAATTAAAAATTACCTTTGAATTTCTGGGATACTTGCATCCTCCAATTTATAAAATGAATCTTCGGTATATAGCCTGTATGTTTTTCCAGGTCCAACTCTTCCTGCACGCCCAGCCCTTTGTTGAGCTGATGCTTTAGAAATTGGGCATACAACAAGACTTTCCATTCCAGTTTTCGGATTATATGCCCGCAACTTGTAATAATTTACACACATTACATTTGAACAAGAGGAAAAATACAGTGCAGTTATCAATATATTAAAATTAATTAAAAATTAATTAATACATACTTTCACAAATCCACAATCAACAACGTACACAATTCCTTCAAGTGTAATGGAAGCTTCGGCGATGTTCGTCGCTACTATAACTTTACGAGTATTATATGGAGTGGGTTCAAAAATTTGTAGTTGCTGTTCCAAATGAAGACCAGCATAAATAGGTAGTGGTAATATTTTCATGGCAGAACGAGGTAATCTATCAATAATAAAATTTTAGAATTAATCAAAATCGCACAAATGGTT